TGCTTTTTTTTTTTGGAAAATGGAGGCTGAATGAAAATTCGAATCTAAGTTCAAAAATTTTTTATTTGAGAAAGATATTGAGTAAACCTTAAGTCCTAAAAATATGGTCAATGATTTGTTTAAATTGTACATGTAAATATTTAAAATCTGCCAACTAAAAAAATCTGTTGAATTATTTCCTTGATTTCCTCAAATAAAACGTGTGTAAATCGATAATAGATTCATTTCAATCCATTAAATTAGTTACCAACAAATCTCAATAACCATAATTATATATCTCTTAATGAAAAAAATATTTTTAACAAATTCAATTATTTTTTTAAATTGTACGCGTACCTTTAAAATCTACCAATCAAAAAATCTGCTTAAAGCCAATATTTTTAATTAATAAATTTTATTTGTCGTGCAACTTTTATATAGATTGATTCATTTCCGTTTTTATCCAACTAACAACCATATCTATCTTATAAGAATTTATTTTCATTTAATTTCTGGTATATAATAATTCCATATTATGCCGTCCGTCTAACTAAAACTAAACCAATTAACGACGTTGAGTTGCACGGAATTAATACGACTTTACATTATTCAAATATGTTTGCCATTATTCATCATATACGAATTATAAATTTTAATCAACGAATCTTAAATATATCTATATATATTAAAAGGCATGACGATGCATGTAATTAATTTTATAATATATCATTTGTTAGATGTTATTGATTTGGTTGTGCAGACTCATTCTGTTCAACTTCAAATAAATAATATAGAGTTTTTTATATTTTACATTTTTTTCTTGAAATAATGAAATGTTAAATATAAATAATTATATTTAAAATAAAGTTTTTAAAAAAGTTTTAAATAACAAACTCGTTCGAGCATCGCACAAGATGTGCTGTAGTTCAAGATAAGGGGTGGAAGTGCAACCAGTGTTGGGTTCAGCTTAGCACCTGTCATGAACAATGTTGCTCGGAATTGTCACTTTTAATTTTGCACTATATATAAGCCAAATTGATTAATATGTATCCTTACCGTAATAAAGAAATTAAACCCACTGATCTCCCCTCCATTACCCCTAATTCAGTAACTACTAGTACGTACCCCGTGCGATGCACGGGAGATAGATATTAAATGAATTATTTTCCCAGGCTCTGTCCGTTTAAGTCTGAGAAAGGTTATTATACATTTTCCACCTATTTTAATCACCGTTAAGTCTCGTTTAAGTCTGAAAAGAGTTATAATCTATTTTCCATCTCTTTTAATCACCGTTAAGTCTAAAAACATAGGGTTGTAATCTATTTTTCACATCTTTTAATCAGCGTTGTTTTATTAGTCAGAACATTAAACGTGAGTATGTTAAGGCTAACTTGTAAAATAATTAATATATTATCTCACTAAAACATTTATACTAATATAAATTTAATTTTATTATATATATTTATTCCTTGAGATAAGAGAAAATAACAATTTTAATTATTCTTATTCACTATATAATAGTTAATTATTAAACTCTGTTGCCATATAATTTCATTATTATTTATAAAGTTATACAAGTTACACGTCTTCTTGTTCTTTTTATTTCATGTAATGAAATATATTTAATGCACGTTGGTATTATTTATATAAGTAATCAATTTAAAATATGTAAATAAATTTAAAATTAAATAGTGTATAAATAATGTACAAAATATACACATATATTTTTTTAGAATTTAATTTTGTATACTAATTAAACAACTTTGATTTAAGAAAAGTCATGAACTCAATCTCTTCTAATATCAATATATTTCTAATTTGCATTGTAATGATTATTCTTATTATATATATAGATTAGAATTTTTGCGACACCAACCAAACTAAATATCACAACAACCAAGTAACAATCATGAAAAAACCCATAACACAACAACTATCAATTAAATTTGGTAATAGAAAAATTACATACGTATATATAAAAATATGAGGATTCTATATTTCTATTAACTGATGTATACACCACGTGTATATTTTGTTAAGATATATTGGAATGTTCAATTTCATAGCATGATAACGATCAGTCTTAAAAAATCGATTATCTTATTGAAATGCCATATTTTTCTGTTAAAAAAAAAGTTCCCATAAAAAATAAGTATATCATAGAAAATTCATTGTGTAATTGAACAAATTTCTATAATGAAGCTCGATTTTCTGTAAAAAAATAAAGCAACAACTTCCACATTTTAAGGAAATCAATTAATGTTGGTCCGTTTTTGCTAAGAAAATAATAAATAAATAAATTGTAGTTAATGAAAAGTAATTAATGATGAGAGAATATGACCATATCTGTTTTTAAAAATCGTAACAGAAAAACAAATATTAAATAAAACTCTATAATATGGAAATAGTAATGACAATAAATGCTGTTGACTTTTCTAACTACTAAATTTGGTAAATATGACTCCCTTTAATATAAACTAGTGTGTAACCCGTGCGATGCACGAGTAAACAATATGACTTCCATAGCATGTAAAATTGTATTATCATACGTGCATAATAAAATTTACATCTTAAGTTCATATTTTATGTTTTTTAATGGAATAAAATCCTTCATTTTAGGGATCATATGTATTTAATTTGTCCAAATTTATCTATTAGGGGAGATATGTGAAAAATATATCTATTAATTTAAAGGATGATATATGATAAATATATTTAAATCTTGTATACATCATGTTTTACAATTAAAGTAATTTAAATATAGAGATTATTCTTATTTCAAATATCTGATTTAAACAAAGACCATAAAATTTTTTATCGTTTCAAAATTAGACCCGTGTATTATTTTTTATTATAAATAATTGTCAACAAAACAATTGAATCGGCCGCAACTTTA